ATTATACAACCCGCCAAGAATATCAGTGATTATCTTTGTAACCTGATGATTAGGAATGAACCTTCAACATAGAAATTACATTAAATAAACAAGAGTATCTATTATAATTCAGAAAAAATAAAGAAGTAATAAATAAATCTTACCCATTGCCCTCAGGCCTAATGATGATCCTATGATAATGATCATAACGCACATCATCTGGATCATCATCCTCCGATGAATCTGAAGTGTGCGCAGAAGGGGGGGGCATCTGGCTCAGTGCTACTATCCCGAAGACGAAGTCTAGAAATGCTAGGAGACGAACTCCGTGGAGAGGGAGACGGGGTCCCTGATGAAGATGGCTGCGATCCACACCCCTGCATCGATCTAGACCCATGCTGCGATCCAGACCACTGTTGTAATCCGGCCGGCTGAAATCTAGATGGATGCGATCTAGCTGGAGATGAAGCAAATGGAGCAGATGACGGGCGCACCATATGGCTATGTGACTGGTGACTCGATGCACCTATGTTAGTACTGGTAGGATCATAAGGAGGAAGCGGGGTATAGCCCTGTGGCGGAGAATGGTGATAATACTGATGGGCGGGCGATTGGTGGGTAGTATGATGAGTAGATGGATGTGGTGGAATTGATCTGTGCCTAGAAGATTGCTTCCGGCCATCAGCAGTAGAGGGATGCAAGTGTGGAGTGGAAGGAAGCGTGGGTATAGCACTATCATCATGATCAATAGGCCTTTTATCCTTCCTAGACCTACCTCGACCCCTACCGGCCATTTGCATAAATTAAAGAAAATGTTAGAATTGAGAATATAAATCTATATCAGTTGAGAGCGCTTGAAAAAACTAACATGCTAGTCGTTTTTGTCGACGTATCCTTCCTCGTCTGAAAATCCTTCCTCTTCACTTATTTTATTTTCATTAGGTGATTCTTCATCCTCATTTTCTATGATTGTTATTTCCTCCATATCAACTTCTTCTAATATGCGTTGAGGGTGCTCCAACTAATTTTCTAACTGATCATCCACCATTTGGCTAACACTTGAGGTATCATTTTGGTAAGAAACATCTAGCACATTCTCAACTTCCACCCTACCAACAGGATTTGTTTTGATTACAACCAACCAATCAGCCTTATCCCTCCGCAATGGATATGGAGCATAGTACACTTGCCTAACTCTTTCTGCAATTATAAAAGGATCATAGAGATCATACTCCCTCTTTTTATTAACCTCAATTATGTTGTACTGCGAGTGTACATTTGTACCTCTTCTAGGTGTTGGGTCAAACCACTTGCATCGGAAAAGTATGATCTTCTTATTTGGCCAACCTGAATATGACAGTTCTAGAATCTCTTTGATCACACCATAATAATCATTTTCCCCATCCTGGTTGCCTTCACCACCTTTGACACACACCCCACTGTTATTGCTTTTTTTATACTTGGAGCATTCCTCAGTGTGAAATTTATAACCATTCACATAATACTTAGACATAGTCGTAACCGTAGGTGCAGGTCCCCAAGATATGTCTTTCAAAAATTGATTAACACTGTTGTTTGAATTATTGACCTATATGTAGGGGTAAATAAATCACAAGTGAGCAAGTATATTTACAAGTATGTATATTCACATGTGAGAAAGTATGTAAGATGCACTTACACACTCTTTAAACCATGCCTCAAATGTAAAATATACAGCACCATGACCAAATTGACTCACGAAGTCACTGAGCGACGCATTGAAAATTATTTGTTAGTTATATCAACCAAATTAAATAGTAGCCCATGTAAATTAATCTTACGTCAACACTTACTTAAGAAAGGGTTGAACTTCCGGACAATTTAGTAACACATGATTTGAAGCTGATTTGTATTCCATACTACTTAGGCCCTTTTTTGTTCGATCTTTAGAACCTCGGCCTGGTTGATTGAATACGGACATTGGTGGATATAATGGATCAATCTCAATCACCACATTGTGCCGATTGGGCCTATTTCTAGCACATGGCACATGACTGTCAAAGTAGTAAGAACAAAAATGGGCAGTTTCCTTTGCAAGATAGGCTTCGCATATGGATCCTTCAATCCTATTCCTCTGTTTAACAAATCGTTTACACTTGCCGATAGTCCTGCACATTGTCATATTAGACGATAACGTTAAAGAAAATTACAAGAATAAATCAAGGTTTGATTATTACCTCTCGAATGGATACATCCACCTGCATTGAACTAGGCCTCCAAGTCGCGCCTCGTGTACAAGGTGAATTGGAAGGTGTTCCATCACATCAAAGAAACCACATGGAAAAATCCTTTCCAGCTTATTACTGATTACAGGAATGCTCCGATTCATTTGAAATAGGTTTTCTTCCCTTAATGTGGTAGAACATAAGTCTTTGAAGAACAAACTTATCTCTGTGATGGGTTTCCATATATTTTCAGGCAATATACAAAATGCAATAGGGATTAAGGTTTCCATGAATATATGACAGTCATGACTTTTCATATGAGTTAGCTTTCCCTCAACCATATCGGCACGTTTTCCCAGGTTCGATGTATAGCTCTCGGGCATCTTTAGGTTTGTGACCCACTCACAAATTTGTCATCTTTGTTCCAAAGTGAATGTGTAGCTGGCCTTGGGCTTGAACACCTTACCATTTTTCCCAGACTGCAAATGTAATTCAGGTCGCCTGCAATATTCTTGTAAGTCCAGTCTAGCCTTAGGGTTATCTTTTGTCTTATTCTTATCATCCATCACTGTGTTGAACAAATTGTCAAAATAGTTCTTCTCAATATGCATGACATCAAGATTGTGCTGAAGAAGATTATCCTTCCAATATGGCAACTCCCAAAATATTCTCTGTTTTGTCCAGTTATGAGTAACACCATATCCAGAAAATCTAGAAGGTGGGGCCTCGGTAACTTTAGTGAAGTTCTGAACCCTCTCCCAAATTTCCTCACCGGAATAAATTGGAGGTGACAAATCATGTTCAACTGTATTCTTTTTGAATGCGTTCTTCATCCTTCTGAACTCATGATCAACTGGCAAGAACTGACGATGACAATTAAACCATGACTGCTTTCGGCCATGTCTTAAAGTGATCGCTTTACCATTTTCCATGCAGTAAGGACATGCTAACTTTCCGGCAGTCATCCACCCAGACAACATTTCATACGCAGGAAAATCATTAATGGTCCACATTAAGTTAGCACGCAAGTTGAAATTTTGCTTAGTTGATATATCATATATCTCAACTCCATCATACCACAACTGTTTAAGCTCATCAATTAGAGGTTGTAAATATACATCAATCAAACTCTTTGGATTGCGGGAACCGGGAATAACACAATTAAAAATAAATATGGACTAGTCATACACATTTCAGGCGGAAGATTATACGGCGTAATAAAGACCGGCCAGCCTGAATATGGTGTTGCAGAAACAGAAAATGGCGTGAAACCATCAGCACACAAACCCAACCGAACATTCCTCGGTTCACTAGCACAATTCGGATACGTCCTATCAAAATGCTTCCAAGCTTCCCCATCTGAAGGATGACACATAACACCGGACGACCTTCTATTTTTATAGTGCCATCTCATATGAGGAGTGGAACGCATCGATGCGTACAACCTCTTTAATCTAAGAATAAGAGGTAAGTAATGCATCGACTTCACAGCAGCCTTTTTCCCGCTTGAAAGCCGCTTAAAATGAGGTTTTTCACAAAATTTACAACTTTCTAAATCTGCATCACCCTTATAATACAACATGCAACCATCTTCACAACAATCGATTCTCATAGATGAGAGTCCTAACTTAGAAACCAATCTTTTAGCCTTATAGAAATCTCCAGGTATGTTGAAAGTTGGGTCAACTAGTTCACTCATAAGGCCAATGAAAGAATTTATTCCCGCTTGAGAAATATTGGTATCTGATTTGATACTTAATAATCTAACCACAACAGACAACTGAGAGTGCATACTCCCTTCCCTTAGTGGACGACTAGCGGCCTCTAACTGTT